AGATAGATAGATAGATAGATAGATAGATAGATAGATAGATAGATAGATAGACGGATAGACGGATAGACAGATGATAGACAGATAGACATATAGACAGACAGACAGACAGATAGTAGAAAGATAGATAGATAGATGTTAGATATATACATAAATCAACAAGCCGGTTGATTTTTGAAGTGTTAGATAGAAGCATTGTAATAGATATTAGAAGATAGGTGAATGGATGGCTAGGTAGATGAATATATCCATAGAGTCATGAAGCATAGGTAGATAGAGAGACAGCCACAGAGATATTAGATGGACTTATATGTAAATACGTGAATCTATGGATGTGAATGGAGAAGGAGATGGTCGTGCAGATACATAGGTGTTAAATGCATGGTAGATGCATAGATATTGATGATGGATGTTAAGAGGGATTAATAAATCTAAGGATTTATAAATAAATATGTACTTAGTTATATAGATGATATATGTATATATGCATACATATATAGAGATAGATGCATAAATGATAGATTCAGGAGTGAATAGGTGGATATAAACACATGTACATTCATGCACAGATGATAGGAACATATAGATGTCTGAATATAAACATACATTCATGAATATGTAAGTATACAGACACACACATATATGCATACATATACTTACATAGCAGAGGCATACGTAAATGATTTGATAGAATAGATCAATGAATACATACATTGATATATATATATATACATACATACATACATACACAAGAAATTAGATGAATTGATTGATGGATAGATGATTATATACAAAGATTAATGAAATATAGGTAGATACTAGAGAGATAGACAAACATGATAGATACATCGGTAGAAGGATAAATGGGTATGTACATAGGTTCATGAATCTATGCATGGAAGAATTGATACATAGATAAATGGACAGATGGAAAGATAGTAGGTAGGTATAACTACGGGTATAAATATATATCCAGATATTGAAACTTGAAAACTGAAGTGTATGCAAGTTAAAGGTCATAGAGAAAAAACATGTTCTGAAGAGTGCTATCAATATTTACAAAAAGCCCACTGAATAGAAGAGTGTATCTCCTAAAAGTCAAATCATGAAACTCAAGTGTAAAAGGGTCTGTGAGCTATTCCAGAGAAATATCTGTCAGGAGCCTGAAGTGAGATAGGGGCAGCTCATGAATCTGTGTATATATTCATCTACCTATCAATGTGGACATATGGAATATCTAATTACTTTTAAAAAGCAATGCTTGTATTCTCACTCATGAGTAACTCAGAGGTCCCAGGACATTTTACCGAGATCCTGTTCTAGTTTGCTTGTCTGTTGCTGTGATAAAGACCTTGACCAAAAACAACTTGGAAATGATAGGGTTTATTCAATCTTACATCTTACAATCTATCACTAAAGGAAGTCATGACAGAAACTAAAGGAAGGGCCTGAAGCAGAGACTATGGAGTGGTGTAGGAGGGCCTTCTGTTTGTGTACTGCTTTCATTGGTTAATCAATAAAGAAACTGCTTGGCTTGATAGTCCAGAGCTTAGGTAGGTGGAGAAGGTAGAACTGAATTCTGGGAGGAAGGAAGCAGAGTCAGAGAGAGAGTCACCATGGAGATGCCAGGTTAGACATGCTAAATCTTTCCAGGTAAGCCACAAGCTCATGGTTAACACAGATTGATAGAAATGAGTTAAATCAAGAAGAAAGAGTTAGCCAATAGGAGGCTAGAGCTAATGGCCAAGCGGTGTTTTAATTAATATAGGTTTTGTGTGATTATTTCAGATATGAGCTACGCGGGAGGCCAGAACTAGGGGCCCACTCCCTATAACAATGGAGAACACTGCAGCACTCTTGTTTGTTCCCCATGTCTTGCTAAGCTTGCTTTACTATAGAACCCAGGACCACTAGACCAGGGGTGGTACCATCACAGTGAGCTTTACTCTCCCACATCGATTATCAATCAGAAAAATTTCCCACAATTTTTCCCACATTGGTATGTGTACTTCCACATCAATCATCAATCAAGAAATGCAATGTAGCTTTCCTAAGGTTGGTTTTGGTCCTCACACATCAATTGTTAAGAAAATGTCCAGCAGGCTTTCCCACAGATGGAGTCATTTCCTCAATTGAGGTTCCCTCTATCCAGATGACCTTTCCTTGTGTCAAGTTGACAATAAAACCACCTAGGAAGTTCACTTTCTTATGTAACTCATGGTCACCTTTCCAGGGTTGACAAGGATATATCACATACCAATATAATAAAGGCATCTTGTGTTTTTCTTATCATATGACCTTGGCTTGTGTCATGTTGACATAAACAAACAAACAAACAAACAAAAAATAACAACAACAAAAAACAAAAAAAGCCAAAAAACTAGCATAGTGATGATAACATTTTGTGCTTGTCCTAAGCATAAAGTATTTTTAATATTTCTATCCTTTCTTTTAAAGGAGCAGGGCTGGGGGCTGGAGAGATGGCTCAGTGGTTAAGAGCATTGCCTGCTCTTCCAAAGGTCCTGAATTCGATTCCCAGCAACCACATGGTGGCTCACAACCATCTGTAATGATGTCTGGTGCCCTCTTCTGGTCTGGAGACATACACACAAACAGAATATTGTATACATAAGAAATTAAAAAATAAATAAATATTTTTAAAAAATAAAGGGGCAGAGCTATATGTTATGCAGATTTTCTTGCCATGTTTTTTGGATATTTTTATATTCCCTTGAGGACTCCATAAACTTAAAGTTTATTTTAATACATTTTAGCTCATGATATCTTCTGGTATAGATAACTAGTTGTCCAATTGTGACAGAAGTATATAGGGTGATGTTTACCTTGTAAGTACCCAGGGTTTCCCTGATGAGAAATACATTGTTTTTTAAAGGAAATGTTAAAAATGTATAAATGAGAATATGGCTTGCAATGAATAACACCTTCACCATGTCATATACCCTTGTAAGGAAGGTGACTTGTTCATTTCCCAGCTGACCAAACAGCCTAAATAACCACATAGAAACTGTTTTAATTAAATCACTGCTTAGCCAATTACTTAAGCATATTGCTATCTAGCTCTTACATCTATAATTAACCCATCTCCATTATTTTATATCTTACCATGAGGCTCATGGCCTACTGGCCAGGTTCAAGCAAGTCTGTCTCTGGCAGTGGCTCCATGGCCTCCCCACTGACTCTTACTTTCTTTCTCCCAGAATTCAGTTTAGTTTTTCCATCCTATCTCTTCTACCCTATTAGGCAAAGTCAGTTTCTTTATTAACCAATGGTATTCACAGCATACAGAGGA